AAAATCTAAAAATATGGATCTTTTTAAAGTTATTTAAGACTAGATTAGGTAAAATAAGTAATAATAATGATATAATTACAATGGTTCATGAGGCATGCATAGGAGCAGCTTGTGGGTAAAGAACATCGATACCATAACTTAGCTGCACGTTCCTTGAGTGATTTACAACTTATGATGGCACAGATAGTAGTTAGACAAGGTTCAAAGGGCAATAAAATTTAATTATAGATAGATGTATAATGTTTTGAACTTAGAGCTACTTAGGATAAACGAATGTAGTTTCATTTTACAATTTGATGTCATTCTAGAAAGAAAAAAAGGTACCCAATATATTGAGAGTTGTAAGTATTAAATTTATAAAGACTTTAAATGAGTACAAAAGGTCACGTGACTCGGTCAGATGGACCAACCCCGTAGTGAGAGAGTTAATTGATGAATTTATTAGTCGATTACATTCAATTAATTGATTATTACACCCTTAAAACCCGTACAAGGAAAAACGAGGAAATTCTCAATAGCCGTGGTACATGAAATTCTTTTAGGCAGGATTAGAGTAATATAATCTGAGACCTTTATTTTCTTTTTTAATAGCTTTATTTTTGGGGCACGCACATACCTGATTTTATTTTATTACTCATCAGGATGTCTACCAGCCTGCCTTCAAATTGGAATTCTTTTAGCCACAATTAGAGTAAATTAATATAGGGACCTTGGGTGTGGTCAAGTACATCAATCGAATGGGTTTAATCTCCTGAGTCCAAAATCTTAACTAAATCTTGGTCAAGAGATGATGGAGCTATGAGGTAAAAGATTGTACTTGAAAATAAAGAAAAACAATAACTCGAAGACATTCTATGATACTCTATGCCGCGGCTAGAAAAAAAAGAAGTAAAACTGTTATCTGATAACAGACTTGACTTTTTTCAGTCACTACATTATTCTAACATGGTATTAATTATTTTTCTTTTCTTTTTTTTAAAATAGTTATCGAATTATTTATGATTTCACTGATGGGCTTTTTCTGAAGGTTGCCATTTTCACATTTGCAAAAACATATTTTTAGTAAAAAAAAATGAATTCCCACAAGTTTTATGAACATTTCCTTCCTGGTGGATAAATTATTAATGTCATTATTTGTTTTTCAGATATGTAGTAATTCCACACTAATCTTTTGTAAATCAAATAAATTAACTTGTGAAAACATGTTTTAATATCATAATAAAAGTAATAATGTTTTTCCTTAAAACATGCTACAATTACAGTTACAAATAATTAAATAGCCACTCAGGCAATTTATTTATGTTCATTTATCATGAATCAAACATCTGCAAAATACCTCTATTAAGTCTTAAGCACTCTTTAGTCATGTGAGTTCTTTGCCTAGCACTATATACATATATATTCCTGTGTCTATGCAAGCTTCATAATCCTGATGATGACAAAACCTTCTACAGACATTGTACATTTACTACTGCGTTAAGCTTTTAATATAGTTTTCTTTGTTACCCATTCAACCCATCTCCAAACTGTACAAGTTTATCTCAAGTTATCTAATGTCTTTTCATTGAAGAAAATTTCTGTAACTTTCAAACAGATGTAGTTTAACACACAAATATTTTTGTAATTCACAATGAAAGGAACACTTACAAAAAAACAACAAAATAAAAAACTCTAAAGCTTATATATTTACTCTGTCAATACAGGCGTGGTAAATTTGACCGAGTCACGTGACCTTCTATACTCGTTTAAAGTTGGCATAACTTTAATACTTATAACTATCTATATATTGGGTATATCTTCGTGAAATTTGTCCTTCACATACCAAAAATCATATTTTTTAGTGAAGTATTTTTAATAAAATAGATTTGTCAATGAATATATTGAGTATTTGTTTTTAATAGTCCTTGTGCAAAGTAATTTTCATGTTAAAATGAAAAATACTTTTTCTCATCTCCAAAATCTCAAATTTCCTTTGTGTAACCTCTAAAACCTCAGAAATGCATTTGAAACATGTGTTGTTTTTTTTGTAAAACTTTGTAGTTTATCTGTTATTTTCTCTACCCTATCTCAAAACGGAATTGGTAAATTCGACCGACCTAGTAACCACCAAAAAAAAATTGTAAGAAACTTAAATTAACCTTTTTTTGTTTCTAGAATGACTTCAAATTTTAACATAATACATCTATTTATAATTAAATTTTATTGTTTTATTGCCTTTTGAACCGTGTCTAACCACTATCTGTGCCTTAAAAAGTTGTAAATCACTTAGAGAACGTGCAGGTCACATTACACTGTTGAATTCATTACCAACGAGCTCCTTGTGCATGTGTATGCTTCATGAATCATTTTATTCATATTATTATTATTACTTATTTTATCTTAAATAACTTAAAAAGATTTAGATTTTTAGAATTTAGTTACTTTTATGATAATAAATATGAAAAACAAGAAATAAAGTACTTACCCTATCTTCTTTTTTTCTTGCTGTCGATTGTTGAGGACAGTTAAGCCTAATTTTTTATAGTAATGATAGTAATGTAGTTAATAATTTTTATCTAATTAAATAATGCACCAATGAATATAGACTAATAACACGCAAAAAATAGACAAATTCCCTTACCTCTTAACATTTTTCTGGGTTTCTAACTATGTGACAAGAGAACAAATCTTGTATTGTAAGTGAAATTGATGATATTATATTCAGAACACAACATTATACAATGTCATTTGATAGATGGAAACCTTGATTTTTCTAATGGTTGTAGGTAATATATAATGAAACATAAGATTGAACTACCAACAAATTGTGAAAGAGAATTTGGCAGGAGGGGTCTGATTTTCTATTTAATAGCTCTGTAACCAAATATAATTCAACACTATATTAAAATTATGGTTTGTCTGAGCAATAACAATTTTATAGAGAGTATTTTATGTATAATTTCATACTTTTTCGAGGGGTGGTGAATAAAATAGGGTTGATGATATGCCAAGACAAAATGTCATGTGTGTCACACTAGTGGAAATTCAGGATTCTTTTTAATAATTCCTTGTAGAATTATGAACCTAAAATAATATTATAATATAATTAATATTAAAAATATGTATTATTAGCTAAGATTTTATGCTATATAAAATTATAATTGGTATAACATAAACAAAAAGTAGTTTAATAAATTTTGAATGTAAGACACTAAAACCTTGTGCCATGCGCAGTAAAGGATACCTGGGGTGATAGGGTTAATACAAGATAGTCTAATTTGTGCTCTGTCCAATCATGTCTAATAATTAAACCACTTGATGTAGCACTATAGCTAGGTTTTGACCAAGGCCTGTTCAAAAACTAAAGGAAATGCCTGAAAATCAAGAAATGGATTCTAAGCGATTAATAGAATGGATTCTAAGGGAGTTATAAGTTCTTATTAAAAATAAAAGTACTTTGGAATGGGCCAAAAGACATCAATATGTAGTTTGTTTTGTTTATAGTTAAAACTCTGCAGCTGTGCAGGAATGAAGATATAAATTTTTTCTTGATATCTTACACTAAATAAGTGTCAGGATATGAAAATATCAAGTCTAAAATATTTTTGAGTTAAAATTTAAATACTTCGAATTAACATATAAAATTTCCTTAAAAGCATGAGGCAAAGATTTATGAAAAACAAGAGTAAATCCTGTCTTCAGTTACAATCAGTTAGGAGGAAGATGCTTTATTCATCCTAAACTGTTGTACATGAAAATATATCATACAAATAGTACCAAAATCTATAACATCCTGAAAATATGATTAATGGTGTTCTGCAGGTTTCTCCCTACAAATTTCTATTTTTTTATAAAAATAAGCATATTACTTTGCCACAGTTTCATACACCAAATTTTTACATAAAGTTAATGAATTTTGTCATCCTAAAACAATGAACAGTAATTTTTTTTTTTTAAATGACTAGTTTTGATTGTCAGCCTACATTATGAGTTAGTTTAATATTTCTTTCATTGTTGGAAATATTTTTTTTTTCAATAGGTGTCCAAAAATCATTACATGATCAAAACTACTGATGTTAATAAAAAGAGAAATAAAACAGACAGATGTAAAAGCTTGCTAGGTGGAGTATTTATGTTTAACAATTTTGAAACATGATTTGTGCGTGTTGCAAATTATGTCAAATGCTGTTAGGATGTTCAGGATACTATCGGGGGAGGTTCCAACTAGATCTCTATAAGCACTACTGATAATTTTATATTCTTATTATTTTTTACTTAACTACACACTGTTTGTAACTTTAGTAAAAAAAAATCAGTTAGAAAACATAGAAAATCATTGAGTTGGTGAGTTGGATTATGTATAATTCAACTATTTCAAAGTTTATATCTTTGTCTAGTAATATGATTGATCTGAAAAAAAAAACAACATTAAAGATAAATATTTCAAGTTTTTCAAGATATAGATAGCATGATATTTATAAAAATACAAAGTCCACACCTAAAGTCATATTTTAGCATTCGTAAACAGGATGGAAGTTTTTATTTTTTAAGTCATTACTTTATAGCACTTGCATTTTCAATTATTATGTTCGTCAAAAATACAAGACATTTTTCTCCTGAGTATTACAACTTCCAAGCAATGAAAAATCAACATTTGTATTGTATTTGTTTAGGAATAACCAGTTATTGACTGAGGCTGTGACAGAATTGCTGTGGATTCTCAGTTATATTAGTTTCAGAAAAAAATATATTACAGTAATTGATAGACAAATTGATTAAAAACAGTGATGTTTAATCATTTGTTTAATATTTTTTTTTTATTAAGTTAAGAAGAAAATTTCATAAACCCCTAATTACCTACCTAATTACAAAAGATTAAATAATACAATTTCTGAAAATTAGAGCAACAAGATAGATTTGCAGAATAATGGAAGATTTCAACAAGATGTTTATTATGAAGTATAAAGTAATTTTGAGTTCTCCGAGTAACCAAGTTCGGTCAAGGAAATAGAGAGGCTGGACACAATTGCTTAGAAAGACACTGAACATGCTTATGGATGATGGATGGTCACTTTTACTTGATTATAAACTATTTCCTTTTCAATCTACCTTGGTAGAGATCCTATTACATGATGTTACTTACTTTAGTAGTAATGTCAAACACACCCAGATTGACTAGAACTATCAAGTTGCTGGTCGTTCCCATTGAAACTTAGGTAAACTTCGAACATTGCATGGCCTACAGTTAGAGGACCATACCATTGATATCCATGCACAGGGTGCAGCTTTTTATCCATGGGCATGACAAAGAACAAAGGTAGTTAAAATGAAAGCAATTTAATGTCGTTCTTGACCACATGTTATGTGAAAACTGCACGTTCCTACAATAACTTAATACTTTATAATAATTTATTAAAATAGGAAGGTAGAAAATGAATGGTATGCTTACGTATCATACCATATGATGCTAGATGAACACAAGCAGTATGTTGCACATTTGTGTATATTTTAGCCATTTCAGCTTCTTGTCATTATCCAGTATTTTTAATTCAATGTGCTTGAATACCTCCTACATACAGTTTTTATTATCCTAATCTTGTTCTTTGACCACCAAATCCTGGAGAATTACTTGAGTAGCTGTAAAATCTTTTCTGGTGTGGTAATATTATCATTGATTTTTCTTCCCATTGTTGTAAGTTGTTTTTTTTATTGAGCAGTACTGAAACTGTTTTTTTTTTTATTGAGCAGTACTGAAACTGTTTTTTTTTACGGTTATATTGTTGGTTTCTGATTTATGCACACAATAGCCACAGATTTTTTTTGCTGGGTTATAGTATAAAATAAGTTACAATTTACCTTAAATTTTGAAACAAAGCATATAACCTTAACAAAATGTATGCATGTAGTGATTGAGTAAAACAAGTACTGTAATCCTAGTGCTTAAAGAAGGCTGTTATCAGGAATTTTTCTTGTTTAGCTGAATCATACAACATTGTGATGCACAGCTACAACAACAAACAAGCTACCCTGAACCAGTTACGAAGTACCCTTTCCAGCATTGAGACTGAAACAGCTCAGAAACTTCAAGACATAGAAAACAACAATTCTGAATTGAAGGTAAAAATTGATTAGAAAACTTTTCAAACATATGCTTTTCAAAATAATTAAAGATGGAAATAAAATGGCAGATAATGTTGTTGGTTATGTTATGCTATTGTATTATATTACTCATGAGCTGCTTGATGTGTGCCTTATTTATTTTTCTAATTTAACCATAACTAACCTAAAGATATATTTACTGAAGACTAATAATAATGTAAAGTTGTATGTCAGATAAAACATTGAATGATGGAATTATGTAAAGGTGTATCTGTTTAATATTTTAGGAATTAAAGCAACAATTAGCTGATATAATGAAAGCAAATGGAAAGCTTCAACAGGTGTATGAAGAAAAACGGCTAAATGTTTTGCAGCTTAAAAAAGAAAAGGATAGTACATTTACTGAACCACAAGTACAGCAGAGTATTCAACCTGATATGAGTAGGTTTCCTTTGTTTTTAAGTTCATTAGAAATAAAGATTATTCTAAACTTACAAAGTATTCATAACTACAAAACATGTAACAAAATTTCTTAATAAAACAAGTCTGAGGTGTACTGGGACTCAGTAATACAGAAGACAAAAAAAGTATCAAATACACCAAGAAGTAAGTTGTTTAAAAGCATATAATAAGGTTAGTGTTTAATACAATCACTTTATATGAAGTCCTCCTTCACAATTGTAATTTATATATGTAAACAGACAACAGAGTGATTAGAAGCTTTATGAATTTAGGGGAAATGAAGAAAATTGCATGTTATCGTAAATGAACTTACAAATGTAGGTCCAGACAAAGTCTCCAGCAGAGGTATATAAATTCTTAGTGTTCATATCTGAGTTTACATTCTGGGTCACCTAAAAATTTTTTCAAAATACTGGTTTCTAAAAGTTTTATAGTTCTGTTAACTTTGTGTGCTATCTCACACAAATAGTTGTAGATGCATATTGTTTGAAAGGAAAGCTCTTTTTCAGACTGTTTTCCCCCTACTATTGCTTCATTTGTGTGCACATAGTTGTTGAACTATTAATTAATAAAACCTCTTTGTGTAAAGACTCATTAAGTATAAACCAAAAGGTTAATGAATAAACTAGTTAGATTGTAATGTTGGTCAGTTGTGAACAATTAATTGGTATTTTTCAGCAAGTTTTGATGATGTCTGGGGAAACAGTGGAGCAGAGTTTCAGGATGACAACTGGGCTGGTGAGTATATTATAGAAAATATATTTCTTTAATCCCATTAGTCCTTATTTTAATTATGGTAACTATAAAAGTTTGGTGAAGTATTTTTCAATTTGTGTTGTGAATCGTAACAGATGATATGACATTGTTACAAGGATAATAGAAAAATGTAATGAATGATGCAGTTTACTATGAATATCACAAATATCAGATGGAAGGTGTGTGTGTTTAGATTTTGGACCGGTTCATTCCAATTCTAGTTTGAAAAATTAGTTCATTAGGTTTTCCAAGTGAAAACAGGTGAGTTAACCTTTTCATGACTGGTACCACTTTAACTCTCTCAACAAAAACTCGACTTTGAGATATCCTCACAAAACCTGGTAATATGTTGTTAAGATCATAAGTATCTTGGATACAAAAATGTCATTATTTTAATTGTGTCTTTTATCTATAGTAGTTATTTTCACTCAATCTCTGAATAGTTTGATGTAAGGTGATTTTCATTTAAAGTATAGAAATACTTTTTTTCATTTTATAGTTTTCATATTTCATTTGTATAACCTCTAGAACCTCCTTAATGAATATTAAAAGTTTTTTAAGGTAAATGTTTATATTTTATTTTCCTACAATATCACTAACTCTAGCTATTATCATCAACATATAGTGCAATGAAATCTTTAAAATATGAAATAGAAAAAATGTACATACCTTTTAACTCTTCATAGAATAGTCTTCAAACATCTTCTTTGGGTCTTTTCACTAATAGTGTAATTTTATGTTTCATTTTCAGTTTTTTGTCTTTTATGATTTATGTCGAAACACCAACTAGCACCTGCGACCCATTATAATGTAGGAAAAACTTGTTTAGTGAGGATAAGCATAGAATAATATTTAAAAAAATCATAATACTTTTCAAATAGTATTTTAAAACACAAATAATACATAATTAATTAAAATATAAAAGTAAAAACTAGATACAATTTAACTTTCTCCCTAACTATAACATAAGAAACAACCGTAAGTGCTATCGTTGATCATGCAGTCAACAATACTACTGGCAGTTAAATATACCTCAAGATGAAAACTGTGCACCAATTTCAAAATAACCATTATTGGATTATAGTGTAAAATGAGCTCTTTCTAATGACTGTATACCTGCATATGTAACCTCTACATGTAGGCTATATAGATCAAACACATGTACAGAAGGTTGACAAAATTTATTACTTGTTATTACTGCATTTATCAAGAGAACTTTGGAATGTACGTGTCAATAGGCCATGTAAACATACTTATTGTCTAGATTTACATCTACAAGTCTGCCAGGATCTTAAACAAGATTGGGAGTGCAAAAGTTTATAGCTCATGGGTCACCTTGACAAGAAAAACTTAAGTTTTAAGTAGGTTTTAAAGGTTTCTTTTCAAATATAGGCTTTAAAACTTGGATAACATAAAACTGTGACTGACAACATTTATTATAACATTAATTTCATTCACATTTACTGATAATAAAGGTGTTTATTTACATTTTGAAAGAACTTAGTGAATTGTGCCGGAAAGTGTTTAAAGGGGTATCTGTGTTTAAATTTTTATTAAGAAATCTCAGAGTTACAGTATGTATTGTTGCATGAGTGAAATTCCCATATGACTTCCCCACAAATTGTAGGTGCCCATACCCAGAGGGTTAAGTAATTTTATGTACATAAAAATCATACCTTGTTCCCTCCCTGTGAAATGTTTTTACAGAGAAATACTCACACACACATTGTTGGCTAATATATATATAAATTTGGCCATGGAACATTTTGACTTTACTTAGGTGATTGTCAGGTGTGAGAAAATAAGGATAATTAGGCACAACAGGAAGTATAAGATCATAAGAATGATCTAATTGCTGAAGCAAGAACAACAACAAAATTGACCCACAATATTATTGACTATTTTCAAACAGTTTAATAAGTTAAGGAAATAAGATTAAACATCTTTGTTTTCTTTTAAATAAGCATTCTATTTATAAAGTGGTTTGTCAGAAAATTATTTTAAAACAAATTCAGCATGTAGGAGGACTGTTATATTTTAAACAAGGGATATTTTTTTATGAATGCTTTCTTTGATTAACAGTTCAAGGTTGGAATTACTATTAAAAAGAAAGGTGGATACCAAACAAGTTATCAAATATCTAGTTTCATGTCTGTGACTTCAGACTGCCAAATTGGATGTACTTAAAAGAATGTTACCTTACCTAACTGATACTCCCATACTCTTATGGATGCAGGTGATAAAACATTGTTTAGGTTTTCCAATATAGTTAGTCTTGAAGTCACCACATGTGTATTTATAGACAATATAAGAGGGAGAAGAAGATGATCCTTTGTTTTATAGAGATATTTGAAGTCACCACATGTGTATTTATAGACAATATAAGAGGGAGAAGAAGATGATCCTTTGTTTTATAGAGATATTTGAAGTCACCACATGTGTATTTATAGACAATATAAGAGGGAGAAGAAGATGATCCTTTGTTTTATAGAGATATTTGAAGTCACCACATGTGTATTTATAAACAATATAAGAGGGAGAAGAAGATGATCCTTTGTATTTTATTCTAAAGTATGGTTTGAAGATTTTAAATCTGACCTGTACGTAGAACTTTCTTATTAAATACTTAAGTTGTTTAGAAAGTGACACTTTGTTTTCCTAGGTAGGAGATGGTTATTGAAACTGGGAATTTATCAACTGTAAACATTTTTATGGGAGTTTTAAATATTTTTTTTTAGAAATATTCTGGTTAGGCTCTCAATCATTTTCTTACATTATCCAGTATACAAATATTTCATAGAGAAAAACAATCCCATAGTGTAAAATGAAATACATTGAACAGATTTTCTAATAAACAACTCTGTAAATAGAATGGTTATTTAAAAACTAAAGTTTTTAAATTTTTTTTTCCTTGTCTACATTGATACAGTTTGTGAATAGTCAATAACATTGTTGGTTCCTTTTATTATTGTTCTTGCTTCATGTCATTAGAAATATTTTGTGATTTGTATTTTCTATTGTTGTAACTGATATTACATTTTTCAAACATTATGTAGCATACAACATAAGATGTTCCAGAGCTAAAAGGAATGTCATAACACATTACAATGACCACTTTATTATATTTGACTAAATAACCTTTAATATGTTTTTCAGAAATAATTATTTTCATGATCCAAAAGCTGACAAAATCAGTCAAAGATATTCCACAATACATTCAAGATGTTTAAAAGTAGTGTTCTAGGGAATCTGTACAAACCCTAACAGTATTAAGTTTTTATTAATCAAGAATGATATGTTTTTAAGAATTTCTTCCTTTATTCTATTGGAACACTGGCATATTCAGTTCTCAAGTTATGAAACTAAGGTCTTTGTCACACTTAGTCTTTTTGAAGTCTTAAATATGTTTTAAAGCTTAACCGGCTGTTTGAAGTAGTTTTTGAGTTATATCCATTATATCAACTGGTTTGTAGTGATAACCATGCATGAATAGATGAGTTTGTTGAAATTTCTGACGTTTGAACATTACTTTGAGTGATGTTTGAGTAAAACTCCTTTTTCACTTGTTGGCTACCTTCTCATATTGAAGGGATTTATATTTTTAAAACTGGATTATAATCACTATGTAAAAGCTTGCTTGCTTTTTTTGTGTAAACCTAGCCACATGTCCACCCATTGTCCCTTCATATTGACGTCTCATTAGACTGAAAAGCTATATTATCACACTTTCACATTAAATTGGGTTATGGTTGATAGCAGGACACTGTGCAATGTATTTAAAAATACAGTATTCTAAAAAAATTGTGTTTATATATTTTGATATTGTATGTTTAGAATGTGTTTTTGGATTGGAAATTTGAAAAATACCACAGTGACTTAGCTCTTATTACTGTCTCTTTGTATTATTTACCAAGTACAATTAGTATCATAGATAAAGTGAACAAAAATATATATATAAATATTTAACTTAAATTAAAAAGAACTTTTGATATACACTTTGGAGGTTCTGGGGGTTATGCAAATGAAATTTGAAACATCTATAAGTTGGAAAAAAGTATTTTTTTATACTCTTGTTGTTTTGTTGGTTACGTGAGAGATTACGTGGGTACACTCCCGTAAATTTAGAGCTAAACAATGGATCAAAGAATACAGAATAATAACATGCAAAAAGCAGATGATGTCCCATGTCTATCACAAATTTTCTAGCTTTCTAAGTATGTAACAAGAACAGTTAAAACTTCATCTAAGCTATTCAGTGTGGTTTCTGTGGGAAAGAAGCTGGAACTGAAAGCAATATTGACAATTCTACTTACAGTAAACAATATGATATAATATGTCATTTGATAGATGGAAACCTTGGCTTTCTATTTGTTATAAATATTATAGTATTGCAAGTCAGAGAGCAATTTCTGAAAGAAAGGATGTGACAAATGAGCATGGCAAGAGGGGTCTGGTTGTCTATTTCATGACTTTATAATCAAATAATATTGAAGGCTTTGAAAATTATGCTTTGCCTGAATGATGACGATATTGTAATAAGTAATTTACATTAAAATTTGTACTTCTTGGAGAGGTGGTAAATAAATTAAGAGAAGAGGGGATGCCAAAAGAGCAAATGTCTCAATTCTCACACTAGGGGAAATTCTAGATTTTTTTTTTATTATTGTCTTATAAAAGTAAGAACTTGAAATTTATATACTATTAAAAATTTAGATTATTAGCTGTTTCATATACTATATTTATTGGTATACCATGAAAGAAAGTAATTTAATTAGATTTTGAATGTAATTCACTAAATCCTAGTGACACTGGAGAAAAAGGTGCTAATAGAGAGAGGGTTAAATGCTTCTTATGCCTATGACTTAGAAGTTATTTTTTTATGAATATAGGCTTATTCTTATAATTAAGAGTTCAAATTTGGAAAAGGCCTGGAGAAGGTTACTATGTTAGGCCTCATAGAATGTTCTGGAAGATTATAACTAAAAATCGTAACTTCCAGGTATTAACTTCAGAATAATTGATTTTACATTGTGAATGTTTTAAAAATTTAAAATGAGTGTATTTCATAATCTAAGTTCAGGCATTTTAGGCTTATATTCTATTAAATACAATCTAGGCTCTCAAGTTTGCTCATATTTTTAGGTGTATTTCTGGATGATCAGTGAAATAGTTTATAGATTGCAATTGAAAAGTTCTTTAGCTTTGTTCATTTCATATATATTGATATTTAACACTAAAATTGGGAGTTTATCATAGAGAAATTGGGGGACTATTTTGGCCATCACAATATCTGAAAAACCGTAAAAAGCACCAAAATTGCCTTTCAACATTTAACATTAGAGCTTTTGAACAATAGAACTTTTGTTCTTATTGGTTCATTTCTTGCAGAGAAATATTCATTTAAAATGATTTCATCTTCCATTGCCTTTTACAAAGTAATTTACCTATATAAAACCTATTTTTAATGCTAAATTAGTCAGTTGATATTGATAGAATGTCCAAAAGTCATGTATGAGCTGGAAGTGCTTAGTGGGTAAAGTGTAATATTTGCATTAGGTTCAAATTTTGTTGATGCAATCATAGTAGAGTACCTTTTGAAGTTAAAGCAACGAGAAAGATAGGTCAACCAAAAATGTTAGTATTAAATCAATGAGGGCAAAAACCTGAAGCAGAAGGAATAGTAAGAATAATATACTTTGTTCTTCTAATTCTGATCATATTCATTTTCTTAGATCATTCAGTGGTTTACAGACTTAGATAGAGTGATCAGACCTCAACTATCAAAAGTCATAAGAAATAGTGAAGAACATTTATTGTTGTTTCTACTTAGTGTGTGTTGAAAAACCATTATTAAAGGACAAATCAAGGTCAAAATGGAATGGCCTGAGCCATGGGTGGACTTTTCATCAACACAAGAACAATTAATTGTGTGTTTTGAAGTAAGATATTGAATTCTAAACCTATGGAAAGTAGTAAATAAGAAAGGGTCTAGCAGATTGTCTCTTCTTCAAGGTTAGCATAAAAATTTGGCATTCCTTCTGTATGATTAACTGATGATTTTATGGTAAGATTGTATCTAAATTATTTCTTTTTAAATTGTTGTTCTCTCTCTTGTCTCCCCCCAGTGGCACAGAGGTATGCCTGCGGACTTACACTGTTAGAAACTAGGTTTCGATACCCATGGTGGGCAGAGCACAGATAGCCCATTGTGTAGCTTTGTGCTTAACTTCAAACAAACAAGCAAAAAAATATCTCACTTGTCTTATTATAATTTAATTATTTTGTTACTTTTGTTTATATTTCATCATATACATTTAATCCAACATTTATCACTATTCTTATGTAGTTATTTTTTCACAATAATGTCAATATTTTAGTTTCTCCTTTTATTTTCTAATGTCTATACATTGTTATGTATTATTACTTTTTATTCTGTTCTTTTCCATGTGCTAGAGAACATATGCTGTTGATGGTTATGAATTACTTTACTATAGCTCTCTTCTTTTCTGTAACCAAAACTTTCAGCCTTACTGTACACTATGTTTCAAATCGGCCATGCATGTTATCATTAGTTTTTTTTCAGAATGAAGATTGCCCAGATCTGCCTTCTGCCTTGTTTTTTTATCTTGTGATTATCTTTTTTGTAATTCCCAGTTCCTTGTAATTTAAAGTGAAGCAAGGCTTCATGTAATTTTTCAGAGTTCAACATCACAACTGAAGTGCAAAATGAAAATACCACAACTGTTGCTTTGTCAGATGCTTTGACAAGTTCTGAAGAGGAATCTTCAAGTATGAAAAAATATCGAGCACTTTATGCCTTTGACGCTAGAAATGTTGATGAGCTATCTATCATGCCAGGTGACATCATCATGGTGAGTAGTGTTTGTGGTTTAGGAAACTCTTCCTCGTTAAAATATGTAAATTCTGTCTCTCTTATAGAATTACTAGCAGTTTTCTAAAACTAATCATAACAACATTAATTACACTACTCTATGTGTGATGAAGCTTCAAAATTCCTGTCATTAAACTAGTCAGTGATACGGGTTTGTGTAACTATTTCAACCTGATAGCTGAGTGATGAACTCAATTAATTGACTATCATGGATCATTATTCCATGTCAAATCACCAAGCAAAAATCATTTTGACACCCAACATCTCAGAATTGGCCAATTTTTTAACTGATGGTACCTGACTACAGTTTAAGTATACCTTCAAGTTTATTTTGCAAAATTCTTTCTCCTTCTGGAAATAGAAATGTTTCAATCTTAACAAAATTATTTTTGCAATAAAAGTAAATAAAAATTCAGCTAAGCTCGTCGATGTGATTTCTATGAGAATAAATTTGAAATTGAATGATGAAATAAACAATGCCCTGTACAGAAGACAATCTAATATAATATGTCATTTGGTAGATTAAAATGTTGGCTTTATATTGGTTATAAATACAATACTATAGTGTGTTAGAGCTAATAGCAATTTGTGAAAAATGGGATTTGAGAGGTGGGTGTAGCAAGTGGATTTGATTTTCTAGTTTATGGCTCTTCAGACAAACTAGATTGAAAGCTATAAAATCTATGCTTTGCCTTAGTAATATCTATGTGATCATGAGTAATTTGTGTTAAATACTGTACTTCAGAGAGGGATGATAAACATATTAGGGAAGACTTAGATAACAAATGTCATTGGAGATTGAGGATTTTTTTGAAATTTCCTTAGAGTTAAGAAATTAAAACTTATATTAAGATTTGATTTATTAACTACATTTTGATACCAAGTTTATTTATATACATTCATAATAAAATAGTTTAATTAAATTTTAAATGTAACTCTGTAAATCCACTAACCATCCACCTAAAATATGATACTACTTCATTATGAAGCTATTCACCATACTGTTAAGCTAGTCTGTGGTACTAATATGTTATTTATCTATGAAGTTTATTTTAGCATATTAATCCCTGATAATAATCATTATGAAGCCAGTTAACAGTGATATTAAATTAGTGTTTCATATTAATATGCAAATCTGGTTCACCATGTAATTATAATAGTCTGTGATACTGTGAAATTTATTACGGAGTTAAGCTGGTCAGTGAAACCCAATACGTTATGAAGGTATTAAATTTACCATAACTTGAAACCATTCTGTGGCACTCTTTTTATAATGCTGTGAAATTCACCATAGCATTAGTCTGTAATAGTAATAGGCATTGAAGCTAATTTATCATGAAGGTAGATTAGTTTGGGATACTAGTATGTTTTATACTCATAGATTATGAAGCTATTAAATCTAATATTAAAGTTTTCATACTAGTTCATTACACTGTGAAGAAGCTATTAACTCTCTCAACACGGGCTCCGTCGAATTGTATGACCACATGATCATTTTATACATGTTATAGTTTTGATACTGCTAACTACTAATTTGGCAGTCTTTCAGTGAACATTACATGTCTTTTTACATACAAAAAATCAGATTATGTCTATATTTATTTTACCTAATAAAATCTTAACTAAACCAAATAATTTCCTGTTTTTGAATTTTTGTTACTTTTATAATAATGAACAGAGAATACACATGAAAAACAAGAAATATAGTACTTACTCTTGTCTTTATTTTTTTCTGGCTGTTGAATGTTGATGACACTTAATCGTACATTTTTATACTAACAAAGGTAATGCATTAAATAATGCACCAAAGAACATTGAATAATAACATGCAAAAAGCAGACAATGTCCCACAACTATCACAATATTTCTGGCTTTCTGTGTGACAAGAGCTGTTACAAATTCATCAAAGCTACTCGATATGTTTCTCATGAAAACAAAGCTTGTACTGAAAGAGAAATTGACAATTCTCAGTATAGAAAACAACATATTTCATTTGATAGATGAAAACTTTGGCTTTCTATTGGTTATAAATAATATAGTATTAAAGATAAGAGAGAACTATTAACAAATCCTGAAAAAAAGGATGTGACAGGTGGATGTTGCAGATGGGGTCTGATTTCCTATTTAATGGCTCTGTAACTAAGCAAGATTGAAGGCTATGAAAGGTATGCTTTATCTGAGCAATGACAATATTATAATGAGTAATTTACTTTAACGTTCATACTTATTGGAAGGGTGGTAAATACATGAGAGAAGAGGGGATGCCTAGAGAAAAAGGTCCTATTTCTCACACTAGGGGAAATTTAGGAGATTTTTTAATATTGCCTTATAAAATTAAGAACTTAAAACTTGTATACTATTAAGATATGGATTATTAGGTATGATTTTGTGCTATACTAATTGGTATAATATAAAAAGTGTAATTAAGTTTTGAATGTAACTCACTAAAAACATTGTGACACGTGCAGTAAAAGATGCGCATGGAGAGAGTGTTAAGTGAAGTATGAAACTTTTTATTCCAGTATGATACTATTGTAAAGTGTGTTTTTAATATTGCAATTTACATATATATTTGGAAAAAGGAGTTTGTCACTATGTCATGATTTCATGAAAATTAAGACCTCTGTAGAATCTAGAAGCTACTAGAGAGAAATAAGAGTGCAATATAAATACCAGAGTTGGTAATTGAGTTAATGAGTTGTTCAGTTAAATGTCAGTTAGTGAGTCAGACATTGATTCACTTAGTAAGCAAAACAATGAATTATTCAATGTGTTTCTTACTGATTGATTAACAAGGAAATCCTGCAAGTTAGTGTTCAAGTAAGTGACTTGAGCTTTATTTGTGAGTTAGGCATACATTAGTTTCAGAATTGTTTCTACCAAATAATACAAAAGAACCCATCCAATGTTACAACCAGGGATAAAGAAAATACTGGAGATCAGTAATCGAATACAAATACAATTATTTCATTTTTTTATGAATACAAATACAGGAAATATTCTAAGTTCAAATACAAATACATAGGAATGTATTCATGAATACTTTGTCAGGTAATATGCAATAATGATAAAATAGCTAACATTAAGA